CTTTAAGATATGTGGACTTCAACTCCCAGAATTCCCCCAGCCAGGGAATTCTGGGAGTTGAAGTCCACATATCTTAAAGTTGCTAAGGCTGAGAAACACTGCTTTAGTAAAACATCCTGCAAATATTGCTGGCCAAAGTGGGAATTTGGGTTGAAAGGGGATTCGGTTCTGAAATGATGATCATCAACGGTGGTCCCCTCGGGGCCCTCCTGTTCCCCTGGCATACCAGGAATCTGATCCATTCTGGTTTCTCTTGCTGCAGGATAAAACGGGCCAGTTCGCTCAACTTCCTGAATAAAAGCGCAGAAGAGGAGCCCAGCCAGGTACACACCTGTTGGGAGGCTACAGTCAGGCTCCTTTGGGGAAGCTGGGATGGGGGGAGGGAGGCAGCGAGATTAGCTTTTCTAGCAGTTTCAGGGCTCCTCTGAACATGTTGTGGCCCGTCCATCTTAACGGACGCGGGCTCCTGCATAGAAAACGCCCAACGTATGTTACAATAGCTCAATCATTTGCATAGAAGAGGAGCCTTTAAAGAAGGAAGGAGGAGGAGAAAGAAGGAGGAAGGAGGAAGAAGAGGAGGAGAAGAGGAAGAAGAGGAGGAGGAGAACAGATTGTTTGAATTTGTGTAAACTTCTCCCACCTCAACCTTTGAGTTGATGGGTGGAATTGCCCACATACAGACAGTGATAACATTGTTGAATATTTTGGAATTGCTCCTCCGATGAGAGCCAGTGTGGATTAGTAGGGAAGGGGCTGGACCAGGAATTGGGGGACTCAGGTGCTAATCCTTCCTCAGCCACAGAAGCTCCCTGAGAGGCTTTGAGACACTCAAGTCTCTCTCACTCCAACCTACCTAGCAGGGCTGTTGTGGGGGAAAATGGGAGGAGGGAACTCTGTTCCCCGCCTTGAGCTTCTGAATGAAGAGCTGGCGATAAATCTAACACAGGAACACACTGCTTCCCTCAGCCCCGTTGTGCGGCCAGCTGACGTGACCGGGAGCCCAGAGCATTCTGGGCATTCTGAAAAAGAAGATCGCTGATGTTCTTCTACCCCCATCCCCCAAATCAAGAAGGCAAAGTTTTATCCGGCCTCAGAGTGGCATTTCAGGACTACCTTTTCCAACATGCGGACAGACCGTCCCCGCTGAAATGAAACAGAATTGGAAATAATCCAACGTGGGTCATTTAATGACCCGCAGGACACTTTTATAATCGTCCTCTTTGGTCAGATTGAGAGCAATGCTGCAGAAAAGCTTTGAGATGCAGGTCTGGAGTCTCCGCTCTCTTGAAAATTCTGCTGCCTTTCTCTTCTAGGTGTCCAGTAACCTCTCTGACAGCCGAGGGTTAAGTGCCAGCAATGTTGATCTCCCCCGACGAAGCTCCCTGATGGCGTGACGTACAGCGTGGCTTGGTCTCGGCTGGGCGGTGAAGATCTGGACCCCATCAGGGCTTCTAGCTTCTGCCTGGACTCTCTGCCCAAGAGTTTCAAATCCTCTCGCAATGGGGGTTCTGCCATGACAACTCGTGCAGAGCGGTGGAGCGGTAGGCCCCCTCTCACCTTCTCCCTCACGTGTGTGGCGTGCACCACGCGAGCACGCACGCATGGGCTGATGTCTTCCTCTCTCCCCCCCTCCAGCATGTTGCCCTTCCTCTCATTCTCGGCCTTTGCTACTGGATGCCACCCTCCAATCCCTCCCCCCCCCAAGTAATACAGGGATTGTTAATTGCAACGAACACTTAATCGCGCTCTTGTCTGTTGCGGAGGGACCCAAAGCTGCATGATTTTAAAAGCCGCTTCCCGGGAATGTCGAGAAGGACAGGTCTTGGGTGGGGAAGGAGCGCTCGAGACCAAGAGGATGAGGAAAGAGGACCATCTCCTGTGTTTACAGTGTCAAGTTCTGCGCTCAATTGGAGCAAAAACTTGCGGAAGGGGGGCGGTCTCAGCGTGGACGCCCAGGTCTTGCAATCCACTTAATTTGTTCTTCCACTAAGAAAGGAGGAACAGTCATTCTTGGGGATCCTTGTTGCTCTCTTCCCTCCCCCTGCAACTGTTCGATCCTTTCTGCTTTATTCTCATTTGTGCCTGGCCTCAGGGAGTTCACATCCAGCCCACCCTCTTCCTCTCCGTGCTCTTCTCTTCTCCACTCTCTGCACTTTTTTTTTTCTTTTAAAGCCTTGATTATGATATAGGTACCGTGGCCTCTTAACTCAGGGGCTTCCTTACAGGTCGAATGCCACGTGTCCGTGGAAATGTCCCTCTCTCACCCTGTCCCCTCCCTTCTTGCTCCTCCTCCTCCATGTTTGGCAGGCAGGATGTGTTTTCACCACTGCCTGAGCCTTGACGGGGCGAGTGCTAGTGAAATTGCCGCTGGCGCTCGGTTGATCCCCCTTGCCATCCTCCTCCCGTGCCAGACAGAGCCACAGCGGTGCGTAAAGGGACAGAACCCCTTGGCACGAAGCACGAGACATCAGATGCCCCGCTAACTGTAATCTCAGCCCCCGTTTTTCTGACGTTCTTCCCCGCAACGATGCTCTCTGTCTCTGTTCACAACATAATCAGCCCTTTCCTCTGGGCCCCAGCGCTGCTTGGGCGCCCGTTCAGTAATAACAATAGTAATAATACATAGCTCAACATTCAGCAAAAGGGGCCAAAATGTTGCTTGGCAGGTAACAGCTGAAAGCCGGGATAACCGGACGCGGCGATCCAGCTTCCTACAGGCTTCTAGACGTATTCTTGCCTCTGCAAATGCTGCGTCCCTTCCTTCTCATTCTGCTGCTGTTTTAAAAAAGCTTCTAGAGATGAGGGAACGCTTCCGAACGGGGAATTTTATCAGATGCAATTTCTCCATTCGCTGTGTGTCCCTGGAGTGTGTGTGTGTGAAACTGTTTCTGACCATTGAAAACCCATCGGGCTCGGCTCCAGTTTCAAACGAGCCATTTTCCTTTGCTTCTCGGTGGCTCGGTACGGAATGAAAATGCTATTTCGTGAAACGAGAAGAGGGGGAAAAGCCACCCAACCTAAGCCTCTCGCTCTTTTGCAGCCCATGGGGGACAGTTGAGTAATTTCTTAAGTTTTTTTTTCCCCCTCCCCGTGAAAGGACTTCAAAGCGGGCAGGGCCCCGGTAACTTATATCACATAACTCTGTGTGTGTGTTTGCGTGCACGTGTCTGTGTGTGGAGGAGAGATTAATGGCTGCGTTGGGGTGAAACGAGAGGAACAGAATTGTGCTCTGTATTTAATTATGTTGCTGTAGAAATAAAACAAGAGGAATATTCTCTGCTTTGATTTTTTTTTTCCTCTCCCGCCTTTCTCTCCCGTCCACTGAGCTCTGCGATTAGCAACGCCAAGTCCTGTGAATCTCCAAGGCTGTTTTTAGGGAGCTGAACCAGGTGACTAAATGTCTCCTCTCACCTCTGTGATTCTGTGCGGCAGTCCGATCTGTGTTTAAATTTCTGATTGTGTTTTTTGAGAGATGTACACACACCCTGTGAACACACCCGTATTATTGTGGAGAAAATATCTTTTCCCCATCCTTAAACCTCAGAGACGTGCTCCATAATGTGGATTACTTCTTTTTCACTTTGGAGCGTTGTCGGTTCCCAGATGTTGCGGTCTGCAGGTTGTGACTCATTCAGCAAACCAGGATTCACCAAGCTATGGCTAAGAGTGAGGTGCAAAAGACAAGCTCAATATCTCTTCGTTCAGAGCCGCCGTAGTGTAGCGGTCCAGATGTTCAGTTGGCACCAGAAGACTCGGGTATAAGCTCATCCCCAGCCTTTCCGTGTCAGCCCAACCTACCTTACAGGGTTGTTGTGGGGAAAAAGCGGGAGGAGGAGACACTATGTAGGCTGCCTCGGGATCTGTAAGGAAACCAAGATACAAATCTAACCAATTTACTAGCCAGCCACCCAGCGGCCTATTCTAAGATAAATATAGAGAACGGGGGAGGCATTTGTTGCGAGTTGCCACAAACCTGCTTGAGATGGACTAACTAGCTTACGAGAACCGGAGTAACTTCTTCCTTTGGCAACGGCTGTGTTTGTTCTCCGCCAGTGTGGAAATAACTCCTGCCTTGAACAACCACATCCGTGAGGCCAGAGTCCTGTGTGTACTCGGCAGGGGTCATATCTAACATTAGGGTGCTTGGCGATCGATATATGAAATTACAGGTGTGGGTTTGAAATGTCTGTTTTGTAAAGTGTTAACAATAAAGACAGCTGGCGTCTATGTATGCCTTGCATGCAGTTATTTTTAAGAAGTTGGCTACTTTTGAAGCGTAGAGATCTGTACCAATGCTGAAATTCATACACAGACGTATATATATTTGTGTCTGTGTGTATGGATATATGGATATATAATGTCTGTCTATATATAAATAGGCAAAACCAGATACATGTACATATGATACTTTATAATATTATAATAAATACTACAAATAAATACTACATATAATTTTATATACATAAATGATATAGATACGACTACGTAGACCCAGTTTACATATACGAAGTATTTAGAGAACTGGCTTAAGAGCTGCATAATGGGACAATATCATCATAACGCGGCGACTATTGCGGAGCGAACTCAATTTCCCATGGTCCCCCTCGGTAGCTGCGAATCGGTCTTGCGGACGAGAAAGGCAACTCCGAGGGGTGGGGCCGGGGTTTACGTCAGACGAGGAAGCCGGGAACTCCATCTCCCGTGAAGTCGCGCGGCCGGGAGAGCCGCACCTGGCCAAGGCTCCGCCTAGAAAGGAAAAAGGGAGGGGCGGGAGGAAAAGCCCTGCGGAAAGACTACGCTCCCCGGCGTGCTCCGCGCGGGGTGCGCGTGCGCAGTGATAAAGTCGCACCTGCGGGGTGG